TATTCTTTTTCTTAATTTGTGTACTTGCTCTTGTTAAGCTATGTTTGTAACACCTCTAAAACAACATTAAGTAGCAGTCAAAATAACAAGCATCTTTCCCTCGTTTGCGACTCTATGGAGGACTCGTCCAATGCTTCCCGCTAGCTGGAAACGCTAAGCTAAAATATGTTTTAATAGCTTGAGAAATATCTGTTGATTATTGTTTCATGGGGAGAGGGTTGTGAGTTTAATATCGCCCCCTGATTTTGCTACTTGTGGAGATGCTATTGCATTTTTTGAATCTATTAATATAATAAATTATGTTAAAGAATTTTAAAATATAAAACCATTTTACATTGATATCACAATTCTTCCTGGTCACGACATACTATTTTTAATGTACTATTTAGTATTTAATTTAATTGCATCAATTTTATAAATCCAGTTCATTTAGAAAATTCAAGCACAATTTATTCTCACAGTTTGGTCTTGACGTTATACTCATTTCTGGAAATGAGTTAATACCTTTTCTCTTTCAGTTTTCTAGACAATCTTACTTATGATTGAGTTATCTAATATTCAAGATTAAGTATAAATTACTATTAAAACATTTAGTTGAGGAACATTTTCATCCTTTCTGCACAGAGATAGTGAGTGTTTTGCTGCAAAGCCCTGGTTAGATTCAAACTATGCAATATTACTGTCTCAGTTTCCCATGTGTTGGAATTGCAAGCATGCCTAGGGAAGAGGTTTAAATTTTTTTTTTCTTTTCAGTAGAAAATGTACACTTTAGATTATTCTTCTATATTTGTGGTTACTTTGGCAAGTTATATTTTCCTATAAAGAGTATTTTTCATTCTAAATTTTTAAACGGAGCTGGAGATGTAGCTCAATTTTAGAGTAGAACCCTGGGTTCCATTCCAAACCTGTCATAAATCAGGCGCAGTGGCGCACACCTTTAAGTCAGGCACCCTGAAGCCAGATGCAGGAGGATTAAAAGTTCAAAGCCATCCTTGACTAAACAGGGTATTAAAGGCCAGCCCAAGTTTCAAGAGATTCTTTCCCCTCCCCCCGCCAATATCAAAAGATGTATTGATTACATGGGACCGGGGAGAGCTTAGTAGAGGAGTGCTGGCTTAGCATGCATGAGGCCCGGAGTTTGTCCCGCATCTCACTATCTAGCTAAGATGGCACAGGCTAGGGGAACTCCAGCACTTTGTAGACGGAGACCAAGGGCATCCTCAGCTACAGAGAGTTTGAGGCCAGCCTGGGACACAATGAGATCCTGTCTTAAAACAAGAGCCACATTTAAAAATCTAATAATGTCAAGTTGTTCAGTGAAATTCAAAATTTGAAAACAAAAATGATTTTCTTTGGTAGTGATTTCCCAATTGTTCCTTTTCATTGGGTTTTTGACCCTTCTCCTTAATAAAACAGGTTGGGGTGGGGTGGCGGCTTCCGTCGTTTGTCTGTTCTGGTGAGCAGTCCCTTCAAAGGACTTGTTGAGTTAGTCGCGGGTCTGTTCGTTTTCTATCTCGCTGTTTTGTCTTTATTGGCACACTCAGTTTTATCTTTCATTTCTCTTTAGTTCTAGTTTTCTCACAGCTCTTTGAAATTTGTTCTTCATCCACTTGTTTCAAGGGCTGCCTGTATGGTTTCTTTTAGTGGGCAGGTACAAAGGCTTTTGAAAGAGATGATCCTTTCTGGCTCTGGTGGCATTCTGTTGTCCTTGAAAGAGCTGTTTAATCGCGGAGGCTTCCTTTTTCTTTTACTCTGTGTGGGGGCAACGTTTGTGCGTGTTTTCCATGTATTCTTGCAGAGCGTGTGTCTTTTCCCATCAGAATTTGTAGTTCAATCTAGACCTGTAAAATCTTTCTGGTTACATTGCTCATTTCTTCTATTTCTTAACTTGTGCTCCACCTCAGACCAGAAAGCATAGGCATCTATAATTGTGGTGTCTCATATTTTCTCCCAGAGTCTGCCCATAGCTTCTGCTTTACAGACATGAGCAGGGTGCAATTAGATGTAGAGATAGTAATCATCTAAATTTTCATGACAAATCAGAGCAGGATTTTGACGTGCCCTCACATCCCTTCTTTCTCCTTCGATTCTCATTTGTCTGATGCGGAGAGAACTCTTGTGTTGTTTTATACGTACACACAACAATCGATGTATTCAAGTTTGTTTTGTATTACATGGCTCAATGATTTATTTTTCGTTATCCTTTATTATTTGCCTCTGGATCTTCAGGTCAAATTCATATTATCTGATGGTAATCACTTGCAGTCTTTTGGGCCTGATTCCTAGTGACCTTCACACTGTTTCCTCTTCTTTTTACTATAGCCAGGTGTCAATGTTTATTTTAATCAACCCTTCTTTTCTATATGAGTGTATTGTGTGGTTCTGAAGGCTGTGGCCTAACTAGAACACACAAAAATGCTTTATGCTCCAGGGTTTGGAGAGCATGTATATTTATTACAAAACACTATTATTTTTATAAAGCACACACACACACATTTTACATGGAGCCGATTAGGTCATCTGTGGGTACACAGGATTGCAAGTCAATAATTTTCATAAAAGAAATCACGGTGTTGTCATTGCATTGCCTTGAGCTCCTTTTGCTAGCACTGCGGAAAGTATCGTTCCTTATTCCTACCAGTGGAACACTTTCACCACCAACACAGATATCTTCTGTTAAACAAACATGCATGGAAACAGACAGAAACCCAACTTTGGGTCTGTGGTTATACAGCATGTGAGCCTCTCACTGTGAGATGCTTTGGAGGAGAAAGGGATGGTTCTGGTTTTGGAGAAGCCAAAGACAGATGCAGTTTCCTGCCCTGAGCACTAATATGACAACCATTTTATGATCCTACTATTACTGAGGCCTCATTGTAAAGCAAATACAGAGAGTTGAAAAATGGAGATACAACAATGATTAGATTGCTTTAATCTTTTTTGTTTTGTTTTGTTTTGTTTTGTTTGTTTTCATGAGAAACTTGAACCCAAAGGAGTTAAATGACTTCTTGGGATCCTTCCGCCAGCTCTAACCTCATTCAGATAACTGTGGTCTTATAGTTTCTAAGTCAGGAGAAATTTTCTATTATGTGTCATACATGAGTGAGTGAATGAGTGAAAGTCAGAGGTTTTTCTCCAAATCCACAGTTGCAGATCAACTACACAAGTACATTACCATACCGCCAACTTTGGAATCTTATTAGTGCGTAAGTCTACCACACTTCAGTGCTGTGGAGATGGAGTCATAGAGGTTTCCATGGTGCAGGAGGAAACCTCAGGCAGGCCAGGCTTCATCAGGGTCAGTCAGGACACTGACCACAGTAGAACCGGGAGAGCAGGAAACGGGATATTGTGGAAAAGCTCAGATGTTTGCTGGTGTCAGGCAGACAAGTACGTGAGGGGACCAGAGGCAAGTGCCTAGATGTGTGAGTATACAGGCAGGGTGAATGAGGATAAGCAGGTATGTACCGGGGCGTGCATGTGTGTAAATGCATACATATTAAACTGGGAGGCACCTGGTTTCCAAAAGTGGATGTGGCTATTTGGCCCCAGGAAAGTTTTGACTTTTGAGTCTAATGCCGCCTGATGACATTTTTTTTTTTTATCAAAATGAAACATACATAATTTTTTTTTCTATGATGGATGGATTGTTCAGTGTTAGCACAACACGGTAGAGTACTGCACAGTCGTTCAACGCATGAAGTTGCTCCTTACAATAGATTTGGGTTATGAGTCACCAGCTGAGTAGGAATGGGTGCTTGGAAGGAGGGACTAAGAAAGAGAAAGGAGACGACAGTAAAGAAGTATGGGATTTTTTATTTAAATCTATCCTTGATACATTGAAAGCTGAGTGCATTTATGATAAAGGACTCAAGGAAGAAGTTCCCTCTCCAGGTTCACCAGTGCGGCCACCAGGCTGTCATGTCTTCTGTTGTTACAATGCAGGTGTCGTGACTGTCACGATTTATATCACACAAGAGAAATCTCGCGGCTACCCATGAACAGGCGGGAACTTTAAAACGAGAAGAAGATATGAGAACCCAGCACTTTCTTATTGTAAAGTTTTTATTTTATCAACATCCTGGAAATACTTTATTTCATTTACAATTTTTTTTAGCTACACAATGCTAAAGGGAAGTGTGTTCACCCACATGTAAAGCAATACGGCTTCAGAATATAACTCTTAAACATATAGAACTTAAAATCTACATCCCAAGTGGCCGGCTGGCGATGTGGTGAAGATGCTTGTGAGGGGTGACATACTTATTTCCTATGGAAAAAAATAAAAAGAGTTGTTTAGAATAGTTATAATAACCACATGCTGTAATTAATTTATTCAGGTGATAATTCAATGTCATTTAATAAAAAATTGTTTAGCCTTCTCTATACCAGTAATTTCCTCAACATTTTTACTTGAATTCATTTTCATTTAAGAATTCTTTAAACTATACCAAAACCTTATTTATAAATAGTTATGAAAATTAAGATTTACCAATAAATGACATTTTGATTTTATTTTATTTTTTTTATTTGTGCCTTTACGGATGTCTTTCTTGTTTTTTTTTTTTTTTTCTTTCTCAATGCTGGAGACTGAGTCGAGGACCCTGCATATGCTTGGCAAGCCCTGTACCCACTGAGCCCATCCTGGCACACAGCTGGGCTTTAAAACTAAATAAATAATGCCACATATAATGATATTTTACCCAAGTGCCAAACTTATAGCATCTTAATGTGGTATTAGTATGTAATAACTTAATTCTTCCCCATATTTCATTCATATTTCTGGTGCTTTGTTTATCACAGTCACCTAGAGAATGCTTTGTGAATGTAAAAGTGGATAGAAATGTCAAGGGAAAGTTAAATAGGATGGCACTCTTAAGTGACTTCAGTGTTTATCATATGGATTACACAAGATGCTTCTGCACGCCAGAACAGCTAATGGCTGCTTAACCTACATTTATGAAAGTTTTGATACACTTCAGGATGAACTGAAAAAACACTTACTTGTCAGTGATTTTGGTCTGAATCAGCCAGTTGATGAAGTCTCTGGTGGCAAGATTATCGAGAATTGTGTTCATCTCGTCAGAGAAGGATCCATCAGCATGTCTGCGGCCGAGTTCTTCTACAATGGTGACTTCCTCTGGGAAGCTAAGAAGAGAGGGGTTGACGTTAATGTTTGATTACCTTAAGTAGATCCTTGTGGATTGCTGATCTTTGGTGAAGTATGAGAGTTGTACTTGAGGGTTTTGATTAAAAACCCCTCATAGAAGCCCACACAAAGCGGAGACCATTCAGAGGCAGAAGGTTTTAGACCTTGGACCCGAAAGCAAGCTTATGTAGCTTCATGCCCCTTTTAAACAATTCATGGTTGCCTTAAGTAGTTTCATTAGTTGGCAACACAGACTCCATTGTTTAAACTAATCATTTCTCTGATTCACCACAGATGCCTTGGGCCACGTAGACCCAGTGACTGAAAGCAGCCTTACAAAGTGTAGAAGTAAGGGATTAAAACTTCGCCTGTGGTTGTATTTGGTTTTGGTACTCATTTGCCACAGTGGAATTTTGGGTATCTGTTACAGATTGATGGATATCCATCAAGATGCACCACTGGGTGCAGAGATATGATGGTCTGTGTTTACATGTCAGCCTCCTTCCCATTTTAATCTTTCTCAGCAAGCATGTTTTAATTCTGCTGAAAAATTAGAGTTGAACATAAACTCTCTCCTACTTCCATTTCAAATGCAAATCAAAATGGTCACAGGAAAATGAGATGCTTCAGCCTCTATGTATGTTTAAGGTCTAAGCATGTAGCTAAAGAACTTGCTCTTATTTTTCACCTTGAACATTGCATGGCTATCTACATGATGGTCCTATAAAAGCTAAATACGTGGTTAGATGTGATCAGTGTCTCTACATGTTTTAGTATCTACTAACACATGAGTATTAGTTGAACAAATATGGAGCTCCAGGTCAGACTATGACCATTTATTAAATATTGAAATGCTCTTACGTTTTCAGTACAATTTTTAAAAAAAAAATTCATAGAATAATTTGTTCCCCCCAGATTTCTACATTAAGGAAAGGCATCAGGAAAGAAACTCGAGACTTACTCTCGCCGTCCTCTGCCTTTCACCAGCCAAGCAATGAATTCCTTTGCTGCCTGGCCTTCCAAGTAAGAGCTCACATCGCTGGTAAAGGTCCCTTCAGCATGCCTCTCAAACTCATCATGACGTTTGGCAATGTTGTTCCTGAAAGAAATGTGGAGGTTAGATTGAAGCTCTGTCTCCTCGGCAGTGTGGTCATCCCTGAGAAGCAGTGGGAACTTCAGGCTCATGGCAAGATGGCTGAGGGGTTTGGGAGGTGAGGGTGGCTAGATGATTATTCTGAAGTTGCATCAATTATCTGGATAGTAAATTAGTGGGAAAAGTCTAATGAGGGGCTAAAAAGTCCTTCCCTTTTCCAGGGTGTCATCTCTACCCTCTCTGCTTCCTCACGCCATTGGCTGTTAAAGCTTTGTCTAGGTTTTGCTTTATCCTCAGAGCAGGTAGGCTGCCCACTAGGCAATGCAACTTAAAACCAGATTAGGAACTTGTTAGTAATGAACATCCAGTCAGAGTTAGTTAACGGAGTTAAGGGAAAACAAGGGGTGGTTTTGAATCATTATGATAAGAACTATTTGATAACGAATTAAAGACAATACACGAACCAGCAGGAAAGGAGTGGAGGTGTGCTTTTATCCCCTGTCAGTGTGTGCAGGGACCCCGGGGGAGCCAGAAGGAACTGCTTGCTGGCTGTGCATTGCCCTTGGAAGGTGCATCGGAGATGAACAGACAGCCGAGGTCATAGGTGGCCTTGTGTTATTTTTGCGTGTTGCATCATTCCCATTATGAGGTTCAGATCTTCACTATGAGGATGAGAACAATTGCTTTCAACTCTATAAATCTGTGTTTTCTCATAGTTCAGACGCTTTACCTATACTCATTGGCAGGGACTCAGTTGCCCCCCCCAAGCCTGCTCTGACCACAAGGGCCACCTTCATTGCTGCTGGACTCTCTGCTTTAAGGTTGGCTATGCACTGTCACCTCTTCTCATTTCCTCTTCCTCCCCTTCCATCCCACCCAGACACATCCATGTCCTTTTCCTGGTTTTTAGATTTCTTCGGCTACTTGGTATGCATAACTCCCTTTCCCAAGTGGGCCATCCTCCAAAGGAATTGTGAAATTCCACCATCTCTGTGAAACTCTTGTGGATAATTTTCTCCAGTAGCCTAGGAGTAGCAAAGCCCCCAACACTCCTCAAACAAAACCCAGCATTAAAATGTATGCCTTATGATGGGTTTGTGTGTTCCTGTTTGCTGCCTTCTCTCTTTATGCTCTGCGACTAGCTAGGCTGTAATTTTAAATGCGTGTCTTGGATTTTATTTTACAAGAGAAAGAATGCATCTATTTTCATACTTTACCGATGATCAACTCAGCTACGGGATAATCTTAGTGTGATTATAGTCATTGGCTTGAACCCCACGAAGGCACATTGAATTTGCTCTAACTTTAAGTAAGAATTAACTTTCCAACCTAGCAGGTCCCCAAAAGTTAGTTTCCAATTTGAAGGTAAAATAGATGAGAAGAAATATTGCTAAGACTAGTGTTTGTTTGTGATAATAAAATGTCTAAGTTATATTGGTGTGTAGATAAGGAAATTGAACAAGCGAATCATGAGAGTTGTAATAAAGGGTAGTACCCATAGCCTCAAAATCATCCAAATTCGCCGGGCGTTGGTGGCGCATGCCTTTAATCCCAGCACTCGGGAGGCAGAGGCAGGCGGATCTCTGTGAGTTCGAGACCAGCCTGGTCTACAAGAGCTAGTTCCAGGACAGGCTCCAAAACCATAGAGAAACCCTGTCTCGAAAAAAAAAAAATCATCCAAATTGAATAAGCCTATTTAATGAGCATGATAACCTCAGAGTTAGGAGAACTTCTTGATATGCATTTGTCTACAATATGGGGAGCAGGTTTAGACTCCTACCTGTTCCTCTTGGTGTTCATCAGCCACTGCACAAAATCTTGGGCACGGCGGGAGTCCAGGTATTTGCTGTAGTCACTGGTGAATGTGCCCTGTGAATGGCGCTTGTCTTCATTTATCTGGTCAGGGTCCTGCAGCGGCTCTGTCTGGGAAGCTGGGAATGATCTGCAAGCAGACATGATTAAGCAGCATAAATAATAGTCCAGGATCAAGGATCTTAAGGGTAAATACTCCCTGAGTATATACTCTATAAGCAGGTTTATTGAGAGGATCCCTCACTGCTAACTAGAAGGCCCCTTGCAGTAGTGAGGTTGGTGCTTCTGCAGATGCCTTAATTTCTAAGGGACTTCAGTTGCTTATGAGGACAGCTTCATTGTTTTGGAATATACTTGTTTTGAATTCTAGCAACAGGTTTCTCAAACAGGATGAAACAAATCTTTTCAACTAATTAATCTACTCATGATTATGCTAATATGACAGAGGAGAGCAGTGACTTGAATATTTTAAAAGTTTAAGACTCTGAAATCATTTGTTTGGGCAGCAGATCTATGCCCCCAATTTTGTCTTGCACATACTAATGTTAAAAAAAATAGCTCAATTACTTAGTTATACGGTAGCTAAAGATTGGAGAAAGGGACAAAAAAAACACCATCTGCTAGTTTGAAAATTCCTGGTGGATATTCCTATGTAACTGGTTGGCATGGTAAATATACAGGAATATCAGTGTAATAACCACAAATGATATACTATTTTTACTCGTTGAATTAAAATTACTAAATATTAGAGAGGATAAAATATTCCTCTACTGGTTATGGGAAGTGGCATGAACTTCCAGAACTCTTTTGGAAGGCAAATCAGTAAGATCTTTGTAAAACTCTGGTTTAAAGTCACTCAAACCCTTTGACACAATAATCTCATTGCCAGAGATATATTGTTATCACCCCCAAAAATATTAAGAAATGTGGGGCAAAGTGCATGTAATTTCCTTTATGGAAAAATTTTAAAACTTCTTAAATGACCAATAGAAGATGAACAGCTAGATAAATATCATATATTTATGAAGTGAAAAGTATTCAGCTCTTATATATAATATATGTAAAGAATATTATAATAAAAGAGAAAGTTAACAATATAATTCCAAGAGGAAACCATGACTTATGGCCATATAAACTGAGGGACATTTGTATAGTTTGTAACAGGTAGAGGGGAGGGGCTTGGGGAAAGGGTGAGGAGAAACTGATATAATGCTATTTTAATTAAAGACTTATTTTAAAAGTTTTTAGAATCCAGGAAAGCAACACAACGATTTTTATATATTCTGAATTGTTGTGGGTTTTTTTTTTTGGATAGTAGAAATCTGAATACTTAAAAATTTTGCATAATTTTAACATTTTGCATTTTAGACATGTATGCTTTTTACAATTAGCAAAGACTGATATTAGTCTCAAGGACATAAAAGAGGAGCTTGAGCTGAAATATTTAAAACAATGGAGTTTGTCGTGTGTGAGTAATGAGTGCTTGCAAAACCCCCTGAAAACTCCGAAGGACTATCGTTTCCCATTCTCATGATGAATATACACTCTCCTCTGTATTCGAGAAAAACCCGCCTTTTCTTATCACTGTGCCTTCTGTATTTCAAAACTGTGCAGGGAGGCCATACCTCTGGACCACCGAGACCCTCCTCACCAACCTCAGCTCTCCAAACTTTGTTCTAACTGTATCGGCAGGCTAGGTCGAGTCTACAGGTGAGTACCTGGGTTTCTCCTCCGTGTCCTGCAGGGAATGCTGCCAGCTGCCTTGCACCAGCATTATAAAAAATCCAGCCACAATGTAAATGTTCTTCATTTTTTTTTTCCTGCCTGTTGGAGCACAGGGTAGGGGGTAAGGGCATGACAGGTGAAGCAGGCAGTCCAGATGAGTTCACTTTTGACTAAGTAAAGATTATCCACAGAAAAAGGTTATCCTGCCAATTTCATTCTGCCTATAGTTTCAATTCCACCTTAACTTCAAGTAGAATATATCTCTCCATGAATTTTGATAAGCAAAAAAAAATCACACAAAGGATATGTTCTACTATTAGGCTTTTTCATTAATGTGGGACAGTTCTGTTAATGTTTAGAAGGCTGGCTTCCAGACTTGAAATAAAAAAGTGTCCACAATAAACATTTAAAACACCCTCTGAGGATGATACGCTGCATATGGTTAGCCTGAGTGGCACCTTATCCGTGACACCACCCCCTTCACTATCAGTCTGGCTTTCAATTAATCGTCCTTCACTTCCAAGCATTTACATCATACTGCATTTCAACCATCTTAAAGCTGCCTCGGGCTACAACTTGGCATACCAGCTGTCGGTTCAGATGTATTATTCATTTATATTTTAAATAGTGTAACTTGGTCTAGACTTTGTAATTATAAAGCGGCCAACAGATTTGAGGTATTTTAGGGTGCTTTGACCTGTTCTAAATTAAAGGGGAAAAAAATCATCTTAAAGACAAGCAATTTGCAATAAGAACTAATGCTCCTGGCAACTTGAACAATCACAACTAAGAAATTAAAAGATTTGTATCCTGGGGAAAAATGAATGCTTGCTTTTGAAGTCCCAGAAGTCCCTGGGTTATCTGGTAATTAGGCTCAGTCTGGGAAGTGACATTTCCCACTAATGACACTGTAGGTCTCTCTGTAGCATACACCTGGTTTCTTGTCTGTTTGTCAAACACAGATCCCCCATGAAAGCCAAAAGATACCAAGTGTGTGATGATGAGGATGAAGACACACATGAATGTGGACCAGGGATGCCTCATTGGAGTAAGCTCTTGTGTTTTCTGAACCGAAACCTTGAGTCCACTATGTGTCAAAGCTGCTCTCTGCCGCTTTCGAACTCCAGCGTTTTATTTTTGAGAAGTGGGAATTTCGGCCCAAGTTTCATTCTACTTCTCCATAAATAAATTAAATGAGTATTTTTAGCAAATGACATTTGGTTAGGAATAAGGATTTTTACAAATATTATCATTTTAGAACATCAATCTTTTCTTTAGCATCTCAGCCATATTTACTATCTGTCTTTGGCAGTAAAACAGAGAATGTCATACCTGCCGTGGTAATGTTCTGAAATTAAAAAAAAAAAAACCCTCATAGATGAGCTGGCCAATCAGACAAAGCAACGTAACAGAAACTAGGCATTCATGCTTCTTGATCATCAACATCAGATGACTTTGGCACATTTCATCGCTTTAGCTTAACCAGTTGGCAAATTTTTAGAAGCCTGTTCTATTTTCAGGTAATGTTTTTGATAATGCCTCTCACTGGTCACATCTTTTTATAATACTGAAGAGTTAAAGCAAGCACTTCCTCTTAGGATTATAACAGTATTGGGAAGCCTCTTGTAAAGACTGAACAATGCCAACTGAGTCCTAGAGAAATCCTTCAACCCAAAGTCCCTGAAGGTTTTCCGATAACCCTGGTCATGTTCATCAGGGGCACACTTAGAGCAGGTAACACTGTGAGAACGTATGTCTTCTGATGCAACCCAAAGAATTCTCTTGGTATAGCTCACTTTTTGAAAGTCAACAAAATTGTGAGGAGACATAATACTATTAACTAGTCAGTTTAATACTTTTGTTGAGGATTAAACATATTATTTTAACATCAAAATTTTATTCAGTAAGGAATCTGCATTTACCTCCCTCCTGTTTTTGCTAGTGTAAATAGAGAATGTGATATTTTTGAAAAAAAAAAAAAAACAACAACAAAGAAAACTACCACAATTTCCCAATAAGAATCGAAGGGAAACTATAGCCATAGTACTACCCCCTATAAAAAGTCTTAGAAAATAATAACCTATTTGTAGGAGAGAAAAGATCATATTACTTTCCTAGAATATAATGGTGTTGTAGGATACATAAATACTTTCTCCTTCCTTGTCCCCTTTCATAAGGAGTCCCTAGAGTGTGTTCAAACACCCTCTGCTCGATGGCTGATTGTTGCTGGCATTTGTGAACTGAAGTTTTTTGTATATGAAGTTGAATAGGGACTTCGGAATATCTGATATGTTTTCCTAAAGAGAGGTACAGGATTCCATTCCAGATGTAGCTACTTTGGATTTTATTTACAACCATAGGTCCTCAGTATGTTGTAAATAGCTGCTAGTTTATAACCTACAAAGAAATGCCATCATCGAAGATGCTTATTCTCTGCACCAAGGATACCAGCATTTATTTGCAAGGGTTGATGCATAGACCTTGATGGTTTGAAATGCTTATTAGAAATTTGGATATTTGAAAGATGATATTGAATATCTTCTTTTGGAAAACAAGAGCTTTTAATTGATAAAGAAATTGCTGTTTTGGTCTCATAATACATACTTTCCTTGGGAAATTAAAAAGCCCCTTCTGTTCAAAGTAGTGCGTGCATCTATCAAATCCAAGGAAAAAAAAACTATTTATTTTTCACAGTGTTTACTTATTTGAATATGCTGGTCTCATTGTAATAAGTGCATCAGTCTGAATCTTTGTTATTTTCTTTCTATTTTATGCCTACATTATTTCTCTAAGTAATTTGCGGATTCATTATGTCAAAGTAGGTATACGTCTAGTCAATAACATTTTTATCTAAATCATGTCCGTCATATTTCTATCAATAAGGTAAAAGATGAAAAACAATGTTTTCATTCATAATACTTAAAAATACTAAAAAAAAAATACTTAGCTGCCCACCTTCCTCCAAACAGGCTTCACTTCACAGCCGCGCAGTTCGCCTCTTACCTTGTGTGACTGAGCCGAGAGCAGGTGCCGATGAAGGGAGCCCACTTGGGAACTTCAGAGGTGTTCTCTGCCCAAGCTCTGCTCTTCTGCACCAGGGTGCCGTGCTTTTATATATTCCCCGGGCTGTTTAGCCTCGCAGATATTGTGCTGACAATATAAATTTCTCATCTGTAAGTAATGGGGTTTTGTTCAAATGATTTCACTCGCCCACTCGCTTTGCTCATCTGCCTTCCCCGGCTGATACTGGGTTGAGACCTCAGAGACCCGGAAACTTTTTATTTACTCTTGTGCCCTTCTGTTTGGGAATGGAAAGGGCAGTTTGGAAATCTACCCTCCAATCTCCGTCCGGCATGAAAAACCACTTACGCTCTCTGAAGGGAATTTTGACGTCAAATAAGCCGAGTCTCGTTTGAGGGTCTAATAGTCCTTTGGCTTGCTATTTGGCCATCATGAGTTCCTGAATAACGGATTGATCATTCATCTAGGCAAACAAATAACTCACCAGCCCACACGTATCAATAAACCTCTCGTCCACATTATATGGAATAAATTTGTGTTCTTTTTGTGGGGACTTTTAAAATGTCAGTTAAAAATGTAATGAGCACCATATTAATGAGACACAGGAGAATGCAAAAATGAGAATATCCAAGGTGCATGGGGCTAAAGGTTTTAAATCTAGTTTTATTGAGAAGAGGTGGGGGCCATAGAATACAAAAGAAAGCTATGTGAGGGGAACTTTTGAGATGGGTTGCAGGCTGTTACAGTTTCCAACTTCCGATATGTATATAGGGCCTTACTAATTATAGTATATAGCAGATACAATTCTGGTCGTTTCAACAGAAGGAAATAGAACATGGAAAATAACCAGGATGTACTAACAGACAGCACAAAACTCCTGCAATTATAAAAAGATTTTCCCCTTCCGCTGTCATCAGTAAGCTGTGTGACCCTGGTCAAGCCACACATTCTCTTTGTGACTCTATTGCTGACTTGGACGAAGAGAAGAAGTGGTTAAGCAGTTGTCTAAAGTGAAGCTCATATTCTACATGACAATATCACCATAGCATTCGCCAGCTAGATCTCAGTATCCAAAATGTCAGCTCCGTGCTTGATGACTTACATGGAAACAGACCATTGACGCAACTGGAGAAGTACTCTGAACGAACTTAGTTTTTCAGTAAGTACGTTAAATTAACTGGCGGATGTCGGTGTACATTCAGAAACAGGCATCAGGCTCCATGTCAGTTGGGAGACCTTACTGAGGGGTTTTGTGCTAGTCACTATTGACGACGCAGAGCCCTGGTACCTAGAGTGAGGTCCAAATATCAGCATATATGAGACCCTATTAAAAATGGAAAAAAAAAGCATGGCCCAGATCTGATTTGCAGAATCAGAATCTGCATCTTATCAAGGTCCCCAAGGAAACCTACAGGCAGGTGAAGCTGAAAAGTACAGCTGAATCAAATCGTCCATCTCACGGTCTCTCCTTGGTGCTGCTGGCTGATCCCAGGACAGCTCTTGGCAGAGCCAGCAGATGGGGTGAAAGAGCAGAGAATGGCGTCCAGCTCAAGGTCCAGCAGAAGTAACCCAAACGTAGTGATGAGCTTGACCATGTGGGACGGTTTAGCACCGATGAAATTGCTCTTTATGGCTACGACCTTCAGGTGCACGACAGCCGCACCTTTATTAAATGTGTGTCGCTACTTTTATTCTGTTGTCCATTTTCCTCCCCATTTCCTCTTCTCCCAGTTTCTCTCTCTCTCCTCCCTTTGCAGATACGATCAGTTCATGAAGCACCCATAGCAGAGGATGTCTAAGATGTCTAAAAGCCATAATTATAGCACCAGAATCTTGCGAAAACCTCTTGATAGCTCACCACATAGTGCTTCTCTTCTTTGTACCTTATTTGCCTTCTGTTATGTTAGAAGTAATCATCCCAGTTTTTTTTTCCCAAGGAAAATTTCTCTAACTCTACCTCCAACCTATTAACTCTGGCTCATGGAGGTAAGGACACCATGAACACCATGGAGATAAGTCTTATGATAAGCCAGGGGCGTTATGTATAGTACACTTCTCTTCCTC